AAGCCGTACTAATTTCCGACCCTCCAAAGGGGTCGGAAATAACCCTATTACTGACGCCAAGTTGGCGTCGCTAATATGTTGGTATTTATGACACAATAGGACGTCGAAAATAGCCTCTTACTTGCGACTCCTTAAATGGAGTCACAAAAGCCTACACAGTTCTGACACCAAGTTCTGTCAAGATACAGTGGCTATTGCAACTCAAAACAACTTATTACTGACTCTCTTTGGTGTCGCAAAAGGGCTAAAAATTATATTTTAAATAATCTACATATAAAGCAGTAGCATATGTTCCACATCAATCACAATTCAACAAAAATTGGTCCCTGAGATTCAATACCAACAAAAATAGATCATCAAACCGATATTTATAACAAAAATGGATCATCACCAAACCGATATTTATAACAAAAATACAATTCAGTAGCATATGTTCTAATGATCACCAAAGCTTATAATCAACACATGTTGAACAAAAATAATGATCACCCAAGCCATAAATATTATTTCCATATATTCAGTCACAATTATTTCCTATGGAGAGCTTGGTGGTGGAACATTGCTTTCAGAGAGCAACCCCTTTAGAATCATAATCATCTTAGCTTCTAATCTTTGCTCCATATTGGTTTCCATATCCTTGATTACTTCAATAGCATTAGTATATTTCTTTTCAGCTGCAATCCTAAGTCTTCTTTCATTCTCTAGCTCCACATTAGGACGGGCTGGTGGAGGTTTCACTCCATACCCCAAGCCACAAATATATTTGGGCCTCTTCCCAAGAACTTTAACGAAGGCTTGCTTCTCCTTTTGAAGTCTATCTCCATCTATAGGATCTAAAGCCTGTACTGTTGCAACCAGCTCCCCCTGTATAGGAAACAAAATCAATATCTACAAACAAAAAAGAAACTAAAAGCGCAATAACATCTCATGATGGCCACTAAGTAGAAAGTATAAGAATTCTTAAATTATTGAACAGTATAAGAATTCTTAAATTGTTGAACAGAGTAAGAGTCAAGAATCTTTGGCAGAATAGATCCACATAAAAGAGTTATCTAAAAAATTATAACTTAGTACTTGAAAACATAAATCACAAAATATAAAATTAATCATCATACATGTGGCAGACAATAGGCGGAAGAAAAGCTTTGGATTTTCTGTACTTGAAGTGTTCAATTAAAAATTCATTTGGATTTTGTAGCATTTGAAGCTTCTATATATTCTTTAGTGATTTTTTTCATTCTTAATAAGCTTATAAGCACATCAGCTAGATGATGAGTGATTATCTAAATCCAAATGAATGCAGACTTTCGAGCATTTGAGGCTTCTATATATTTCTTTAGTGATTTTTATTCATTCTTAATAAGGTTGTGTATCTTGTGAAAAAAAGTAATCTGTCTATCTTATAGAAGTGTAGTTAAAATGTTTCTGCTTAAATGGTTTGGCAGACAGCAAGAATGAAAACATCCTTGATTTTCAATTGAAACCCCTCATTGCACTTCTAAAATACCTTTGCATCTCCAGAGTCTGTCTTTATAGTCTATCTAAGATTTTAAATTTTGATTGTCATTAATCAAGCTCCTGATGTTTCAAAGAAACTTGTTCTAGATACTAATAGGAAAGAAAAATTGGTTTATGAGACAATTAATTACTAAAGTATTTCAAATATTTTGTTTTCAGTCTGTATTTATTTTAATTAGCTAAGCAAACTGCTAGGTAGGAGTTTTGAAATTGCTTAAATTATGCACTAATTTAAACCTTGATTTAGCATGCGGCATTAAAAAGAAAATTTAATTTCTAGGTTTTTCTCTATCATATTTTACAGCTAATGTGTTAATCTGTCCGAAGCTATAAATTAGGATAGAGTTTTGCATTTGATTAACTACTGAACTTTCTACCAAAAGTTACCTAATAAGATCTTGGTCACGAGTAAATGAGGGGAACAACTGAAGTGACAACAACAGAAGCTTCTTATAAATAAGTAGGTTTGATGAACTGTGCTTCATTTATCCTCTTTTTGGCAGAACACTTTATTCTCTTTAACATTTTTATGCAGTTGACCAAATGAAAATTTGATCTGGTATCATTGTTCCTTTTTTTAAAATGCATGAAGAGGAAAGGTATTCTTACATGCAATTCCCGAGCTTTCTCACATGTCCAACCTTTTTCTGGATGGTGATGTATTTCTTCATAAACATCAACCAAACGAGGTTGAACTCCATTCTGAGACATTTTTTGCAAAGTTCAAGGAATTATTATATGTCAATTGTAGAAACATATAAAAGCAAGTGTTTAAAAAGAATATTTGGTTCAATAACTATTACCTTCTCCTCAATATACCGCACAAAGGACTTGCTTCCGCCACAATGGTGAACTTGTAGTGCAGCCCAGTTCCTTTGATTTTGCTCACTAATTTCCTACACAAAGAAGGTATTGAAAAGTTTATGGTTAATTATGTTACTACTGTTGCTCAAAATAATAGCAAAATCTTCAACTAAAGAAGGTACAATTAGCCTATTATTTGAAGTGGAATGTGAGATTACCTTATGCTTTTCAGACATGAAACGATTGCACAATACTAACCAAACTTTAGACCGAACACTTTTATATGGATTTTGAGGTGCCTCATCAGGGTCAAACAAATTCCAATGACTTTTTACCTCATGTCAGTAATTCTTGAGTCGAGTATGAAGTTACAAATCCACAACTTCTTTGTGGTGTGGATCATTGAAATCAACTTGAAAATGTTCCTATAATACATCTAACTTTGGAAAACCAACTTCAATTTAAAAAATAAAGAAGTCACAAGTAAATAACAATAACACTTCACCTTTATTTCATTATACATAATTTGTTTTTCAATTTCTAGAACATCAAGCCACGATTCATAAATTAAGAGTTTTCCACTACCACGCACTATAATGCCGACTTCAGCTGTAAATACACCAGCATTATCCCCAGTGACCTTCATGTATTCTGGTTTGATTTCAACTGGAATAGGTCCTCCGTAAAAATCTTTAAGTTGCATTTTCTTTTCATTTTTTGCAATTCCACGTCATTTCACCCTAGTCGAAGCTGCACATGATTGGTACAACAGTCAATAAAAAATATGTGAACATATAATGAAAAAAAGACAAACATAAGATGATACAAAGCAATTTCCATTTATTTCACTACACACGAACACAATCTCAGGTTGAAATATTGCCAATCGCGGTCGCCCACTTCAATGGTGATATATTGACATGTAGGTAGAGAGAGATTCTTCTCACTTTTTGATAATACATTCTGAATTCTAACTGCTAAACAGCCTTACCAGCAACAAAAGCACCCTCACCAGATAAATCCCAACTATGGCATAGAATGATTGAAACATCTGGATAAAAAATGAAAGCATCTTTGATATATTGAACCCAACTACCAATGATAAATTGATGCAACCAGAAAATTAGTTTTCACAAACTCAGTAGAACATTACATCTCTATAATTAATTAAGTAAAACTTAGCAATTGTCATACTCTAAATAAATACTAAGTAGAAGAATTCATAGGCATATTCTCTACTGATGACAGCCATAATCTAATTAATGATTCTATATTCTGTATAGAAGAAGCATAATGAAAGTTTTATGTGCATTGTAGAATAAACTTGAATATTAGTATATAGTTTTACTATTAAGATGAGGTTCCCGAGGAAGCTAATATAAGAAATATTTGTGATTAAGCATAAAGTTTCAAACTAGAATCCAGAAATTCTTTAAAGACATTAGAAGAATTTTTAGGCAATTTTCATCATAACAACCAATGTGAACCTTTCTCAATGAAAATATAGTTATCACATCCTATGACTTGTACTCTTTTTCATTTCAAGATGAATAAGAGAACACAAACTACAAATTGAACCCTTACAATAATATACAAAACAAACAACAGCGGGATGATGAAATTGCAATACCAATTCAAGGATTAAGTTCTAATATATGTTTTGCCAAAAAAGGTGTATATATAATATAATTGTCTCTCAAACAGGCGGCATCAACTGGGAATAACATTCCATTCTATGAATACAAATTGCACAAGAGGAACCATCTTAGCCAACATATATTATCAGTGTACTGCAATTCAAAAAAAGTAGAGAAAAAATATGGCTAGTTGTTGTGAGTGCACTTTTAAACAGAATATTTAAAAGCTAAACTAGTTGTTCTGTTGAAAGCAAAAATTAAATGTAGAAACTCTTAATCCAGCACAATGGGGCTTAATAACAGGTACTACAAAGTCAACAAAGCAAACAACAGAGAATTGCTTCAAATTGGAGACTAAATTTAGTATTGATCTCATTCCTCAAACACGTAAAATAATATTTTAAAAGTGTTAATGATCTACATGCAAAGCAGTTTTTAGAAAGAAAATTGATGGAACAGATAAAATAATATTTAATTTCAAAATATAATGATACCTGATGAACTATTGGTTGAAGCCATAAGAATACCTGGAAAACAGCTCTTGAAAGTAAGATATATATATATATTGAACTAAAGTACAAAGTTTATTCTATTTGCATGTGTGAGTAGGTTTGTATGTATGTATCATGTAAATAAGAGGAGGAAACAGTCGAATGCTAGATATTTGAAAAAACGGTGACAAGGAATATAGACCTCATGATTTATGTGCAGGAAAACAAAAAATTGTAGGATACCTGATCTAGCAGCCCTTGTTAGCAGATCTAACTCTTTTCAGATATCCTTCAAAAAGTGAATAGAGGCAAAAACAAAAAGAAGCAAAATTTAAAAAATCAATTCCAAGGAAAAAGTAAACTCAGTAAAGGAAAACAATAAAATAAAACATGGTATCATTGGTTCATGTAAGCCAGAGATGATATTTAAGAATACAGACCTCAACATACATAAACTGCAACTAAATGGTAAAATCTTACCATATTTTGTTTTAATTTAACCAAAGGGAGAAAGCACTAACGGAAAACAATAAAATAAAAAATTGAAAAACTATCCCTCTTCCCAATCACTCTCGTCAGTATCATCATCAGTAAGCAAAGTATATTCCTCATTAGTGGTGGAATCAAATAATTCAACATCTTCATTGTCAACCACATGAGTGTCTTGCCTACACTTGTGAACAACTTCTACATCAATCTGATCACTGGGGATGTTATCCCTATTCAACGACAATTGATTTATATTTGGGCAATCTTGTACAACCCCATCAACAATGCAAGGCTCAAACTCTTGATATGCATCATTCTCAGTGTTACTTTCATCTTCCTCTTCATCTCCCTTTCCATCTTCCACCACTGAAACATCAAATATTCTTCTACAAGTTATTTTCTGAACCACCTCCCATAAACCCCGTAATTTGGTATCCTTCATATAAAAGACTTGTTGGACTTGTTGAGGTAGAACAAACGGCTGATCCTCGTACAATTGACGTGATACATTAACGCTAGTGAAGTGGGGATCTTTGTGTATACCCAGCTTTGTAGTAACATCCCTCCAATCACACTTGAAAATGAAAACCTTTCCACCTAGAATGTATTTCAACTCAATTACATCTATTAAAACACCATAATATTCAACGCCTTCACATTTAACAGATATACCACTATTTTGAGTTTTTCGATTTTGCTCCCTATCCTTTGTGTGAAATCTTGATCCATTTACAATGCAACCAGAGTATCGTTTGACTCGTCGTTCAGGTCCACATGCCAATGAAAAAGTATCATCATTTATTGATGAGTCCTTTAGTTGTCTCATTTGCTTGATCTATAAACACAATACATATTAACAAATAATTACTTCCAAATATAATAAATTATATAATTAGAAACAATAGAGAAAAGCAATAAACACTTACACGTTGTTCAAACCAAATTGGAAATTTCAGTGCATGCCTTCATTCTACCGTGGATTGTGCTGGTTGTGGTAAAAGTTCCATATATTCTATACATACATATATATTTTAAAATGTTATATGCAACTGATTATAAAAAATATATGAAGATGTAAAATTATTGAAAATGAAAAATCAAATAAAATTAACCAACCTCAATATCGGCTGGATTTCATCGCAGTTGTTCAAAACATATAAATGAGCCCTATCAATGTCCATCAAATCCAATGTATCATAACTTAAGGAACCTCATGGACGAAGGACTTGTCTAAATACATATAAGGAAGCTCCTTGCACAGTTTGATCTCCCTCATAATTCCGTTCCTCACGGTTAAACCGTGTCTCAACTCCACTGAGATACAAAGAACAAAAAGTTATGCATTCACTATCCACGTAAGCTTCAGCAATTGAACCCTCCGGGCGTGCTTTGTTGTGCACGTATGACTTAAGAGTGCACAAAAATCTTTCAATAGGGTACATCCATCGATATTGTACAGGACCAGCTATGAGTGCCTCCTGGGGTAAATGCACAGCAAGATGAACCATGATATCAAAAAATGTTGGAGGGAAGATCATTTCTAACTTGCAAAGTATAAGAGCAATATCCCTTTCAAGAGCTTCTAGCACTTCAACCTTTAACGTCCTGTAACACAACTCCTCAAAGAAAATGCCAAGTTTAGCCAATGCATTACAAATATCATGATATAAGCAACCACGAATGCCGACGGGTAAGAGTCGCTACAGAAGAACATGCGAGTCATGACTTTTCATCCCGTATATTTTGCATTCTGCAACATTAACACACCGAGATATGTTAGATGCATATCCATCTGGAAATTTAATCATCTTCAACCATTCACAAAACTCCTTTTTTTTCTTTTGTTAACAGTTTGTAACGTGCAGGTGGCATCACATATTTTGCACCAGTAGAGATAAGATGCAATTCTTTTCTTATTCCCATCTTTTGTAAATCCAGACGAGCCTTCAAACTATCTTTTGTTTTCCCTTCAATATTCATCAAGGTCCCCAACACATTGTCACAGATATTTTTCTCGATGTGCATGATATCAAGGTTGTGCCGCAACTTGAGAAATCTCCAATATGGAAATTCAAAAAAAATGCTCGTTTTTGTCCAATTAAGGTCGATTGTAGTACATTTCCTCTTTTTAATATTTGATACCTTCCCGAAATTGACATCCCTTATATGATCTAATTGTTCTAATTTTTCTAGAATCTCATCCCCAGACAACTCCTTAGGTGGTAATCTGTGTTCCTTATAACCATCAAATTGCTTCGAACGATTCCACCAGTCATGATCCAAATCTAACCAACGTCGATGACTACGATAACTAATCTTTTTACCATCTTTCAACCACACTGATTATGTGTTGTCCATGCACCTTGGACATGCCATGTACCCCTTCGTACACCAACCGGACAAATCCGCCAAAGCAGGAAGGTCATTTAAAGTCCATAGACATACCGCATGTAATTTAAATTTTCTTCTAGTATATGAATCAAAAGTTGAGACACCATCCACCCACAATTCTTTTAACTCATCTATCAACGGTCTCAAATACACATCAATGTCCTTTCCAGGTGATTTTGGACTGGGAATAAGCAACGGCATGAACACATATGGATCCCTCATCAATTTCCAAGGTGCCGCATTGTATGCTACAATAAAGACAGGCCACACACTATATGCATTGTTCATGTTACCAAATGGATTAAATCCATCAGTTCCTAACCCTAATCGAATGTTTCGAGGGTCTTTTACAAACCAACCATGTTGATTATCAAATTCCTCCCAAGCTCTAGAATCTGCCGGATGTTTTAAAACATTCGTCTCCTTAACACACTTTTCCTTATGCCACCTCATATCTTTCGCAGTCTTTCTTGACATATACAATCTTTGAAACCTTAGTTTCAAGGGAAAATATCGAAGAACCTTCTAAGGAACTTTTTTCCTTTTGCCTTCATGGAATTTATACCAAGGTGCACCACATTTAGGACACTCCTCATTGTGCTCATATTCCTTCCAAAAGAGTACACAATCATGTTTACAGGCATGAATCGTCTATAGCCAAGTCCTAAATCACGCAATATTCTTTTAAGCTCGTAATGGGATTTTAGCAATGTCTTATCTTTTGGCAACAACTCTTTAAGAAACTCAAGTAACATAGTGAATGACTTGTTAGTCCATCAATTCATAACTTTTAGATGGAGTAACCTAAGAATATAAGACAACTTTGTGAATTTCTGACAACCTGGATACACCTCACATTGTGAATCTTGCAACAATCTCGCAAACCTATCTGCACCCCCTTCCCCTTCACCCTCAGGGATATTAAGTGGACTACTATTATGTTGAATATCTTCTTGTTCAATATTCATGTATTCTCCAATCCGTATGTCTTCCAAGTATTCATGCACCTCATCAGCATTTCCACTTTGGTCTTCTATATCATTAACACCAAGCTCAACTTGATCATTATTTGAGTTTTGAACACTCTCTCCGTGATATATCCAAGTCGTGTATTGTTTATACATTCCATACTTGTATAAATGATCCTCCACTTCTTTTAGTTGCCTTACTAGCTTGTTTTTACAACTACGACATGGACAGTACGCTCTATTTAAACCATCCACATGACCACTCGCAAACTGAATGAAATCTTCTATTCCTTGCAAATACAGTGGATGAACCCTAGTTGGAATTTGCATCCAACTCTTATCCATCTAAATACACATAGAACAATATATTAATTAATCAAGACATAAAACAATAGACAAATTGCCTCAAAATGTGTTTGCTTGGGAAGATTTAAAACTGGCTAAATGTGTGTGTGTGTGTGTGTGTGTGTATATATACTAGATAAAACAGAAATGTGCTAAAGTGAATAATCTTAATTTCAATGAAAAAAGAGTAGATAAACCCTAAAGCAGCATGGAATTGGTATTTATAAGCACAAAAACTAAATTGTAGTACAATTATTTAATTTTATACTTGCACATATTATTTATGCAACATTAATGAAAAATAATGAGTTCCTAAATCATAAGTTCTGATACCACATGTAAACTATAATAATTCGTGTTAAGTCATTAATCACAAATTTACATGAATATCTTAGAACTTTATGATTTTCACATATCTATAATGCATAAATAAATACTAGTTAGATATAAATACCTGATTCATGATATCAAATCTTGTTGAGACTAAGTCCAACGTCCAGATCCTTCAACCACGAACTAATCTGCAACTCTGATCAACACGCAAAGGTGAAAACTGGTTTCTCTCTTTTGGCCTTTTGCACACATAAAACTTTTACATATTGTTTTCATTAGCATACATAATTAATGGAGTATATGCACTTTTATAAATGCAGAGAGAGGACCAGTTTTCCTTTTAGTAACATAATTCTATTTTCCATCAAAGTAAGGAATATGAAAGGAAAACGCTACTCCAATACATAATTACCAAAAAGGTAATTATAAGTTGACTAAATAATATAATATAATATTAATCTAAAATCTATTTACTTAGCCACCAAGTAATATGTCACATGTCCAAATCATGTGGGCCACAATTAAATAAATAATCTTACATTCCTACGTGAAAGGAATAGAAATATTTCATGATATATCACGTGAATTTTTAGGATTGTCTCGGAAGGCATATATTGAAAAAGTTCTAGAAAGATTTGGTATGGAACATTATTAAACCAGTATTATTCCATATATAAAAGGGGATAAATTCAGCCTAATGCAATCCCAAAGAATGAGTTAGTTAGAAGGTAAAGAAACGAAAAATATTCCTTATGCATATATTGTGGAGTTTGATATATATACAAGTTGGTATGGGATAAAAGATTATATGCTTACACTTAGGAAGACATTTTTTAATTGATTATTTGTTTCTTTTAGCTGGAAGAACAATATTATGAAAAAGTACAAAATAATTTTTTATTACTTTGTCTATTATGAATTTTTAGTTTGTAGCATGCTTTGAGGCTACAATTTATTATTGTAGAATTTATTTCAGGATTTGGAGTTATGGGTACCATTTTCAGATTGCTGAAAATTTATGCTCCAATTGTTGATCTTCTTGTATGAAAAATGATAGGTATTCTAAAGTTGAAATACTTGATCATTAAAGAAGATGTTTAGAAACAACAAATGTCTATTGAATATATAAGCACACAACTTATGATTGCAATCCATTAACGAATGGACTACCACCCAAGACATTTATGGAACATGTTAAAAGAATAAGTCTTGAACGTAGTCAATGATAATTATTTTTTAATTGTGGATTGCTTAACAGTGCTTATATATATTTGACATTTTGCGCTCATTAAATGTATTTATGATATTTCCTATTAATTAATGTACATGTACGTATTGCTTTAATAAGTGGTAATAGGAATAGTCTTGGAAAAGACATTATTGTTAGATCATTATTGAAACTTCTCATTTATAGACTATGTTAAATAGGTTACTGGTGTTGTGGTACATGGAAGGAACTGTGTCATTTAGGGACATACAACCGCCATGACTCACATTAGTAGTTTGTTTATCATGGTATTTATGATGACCAACTTAATACCTTAATCTGATTTATGGTGCACACTAATGACTATTTTACTAAACCACTACAGAAATTATCATATGTGCCAAGTGGGAGAATGTAAGATTATTTATTTAATTGTGGCCTACATGATTTGGACATGTGACATATTACTTTATGGCTAAGTAAATAGATATCAGATTAATATTATATTATATTATTTGGTCAACTTATAATTACCTTTTTGATAATTACTTATTGGAGTAGTGTTTTCCTTTCATATTCCTTACTTTGATGGAAAGTAGAATTATGTTATTAAAAGGAAAACTAGTCCTCTCTTTGCCTTTATAAAAGTGCATATACTCCATTAATTATATATGCTAATGAAAATAACACGTGAAAGTTTTATGTGTGCAAAAGGCCAAGAGAGAAAAACCAGTTTCCACCTTTGCGTGTTGATCAGAGTTGCAGATTAGTTCGTGACTAAAGGATCTGGACGTTGGACTTAATCTCAACAAGATTTGATATCGTGAATCAGGTATTTATATCTAACTAGTATTTATTTATGCATTATAGATATGTGAAAATCATGAAGTTCTAAGATATGTGATTCATGTAAATTTGTGATTAATGGCTTAACACGAATTATTATAGTTTACAGTGAAAGCTTAGGTCAATTGAATAGTTAAACTAGTTTCAAGTTCTGTTCAAGCATATTTGAAAAACAGCTGCAAAAAAAATCTTGATAAGCAAGTACTCATGCTTGCTCAGCTTAATGAGTTCATTCATAAACACCTATTCATGATCTGTCTTAATTAGTCAACAAAACAAGTTTAGAAAAGTGTGTGTGTGTGTGTGTGTGTGTGTGTGTGTGTGTGTGTTTGTCCATATAGCTTAATGGGGGTGTGTGTGTGTTTTTGTCAATATAGCCTAATGGGTAAATTTATTGGAAAATTCTATTATTTCCTTTGCCAACATAGAATGTAATATAAATTCAAATTGATAAAGAAGGGTGAATAGAGAATTAAGTAGATAAGAAAAGAAAGAAATCTAGTTCTTTTTTTATTCAAGTGGAAAAATATTCAAGTACAGAGCAATTGCCAAAGCCAAGGCGATAAACATATGGTACAAATACTGGATTCTACAAGCTTAACCATTTAGGTTTATGCATTAGAAGAACCCAACACTAAACATATTGTTTATATCTGCCACTCCTTATGAAATCAATGAGTTCTTTATGTTTAAATTCAATAAAGTTGAAATAAATACTCAACTCAAGAATTGTAAATAAGGTAAAAATAGTTATCAAAATTTTAATTAACACTTAAAATTAGTTAAAGTTGATAAGATAACAATACCTTCTTCGCATATGAGATTTTATGTTGGAAGGTTAGTTTAATTTTTAACTTTGACATAAAAATTTTGCTAATATATGACAGTGAATTGTTTATGTTTGGACTTTATACATATTTGATGGTGTTAGGATGTTGGTAAAATGAGGCTATTTTTTCTAAAATTATTAATTTCTTTAATTTTACTATAATAATTAAATAAGTTTATCTACTTTTCTCATTTAGTCTATTATTATAATTTTGTCCCATATCAAGTATATATAAATTGAGTAATACCACAACTTAATAACTTTTAAGTCTTACATGAAAACATTCAAGAATTAATCGTCATATGTCATGTGCCGTACTTGTGTCGGATACTGTGGTACCCATCACCACGTTTGGGCTGATATTCTAATCACATGTATCAAACCACGTGGCACAATCCAACTTACCCACTAAACGACCAATTCATCATCCCTCACATGCACAGCTCAATTCTATAAAGGACAAAAACGACTGTACCTAAAGTCTATCGTTTTTTTTTTTTTTTTAATTTTTTGTTAAAACCTAAAGTCTATCGTTGCATAGACTTCGAGACCCAAAACCGCGTGACATCGCTGTTGTACCTCTTTTTGTCTTGTACTATTTTATACGCATAGCACAATTTACAGATTGTGACATCCTTATTTCGAATTCAAAAATAATTTTAAAGTGAATAGCCAAGTTTAATTTTAGCGATAATTTTATTGAAATTTCTTGAAATTTGGTTAAATATTAATTTAAAATTTTTTTCGAAAATAACTATCACTCACATTAAACGTTTGCTCCGTTTTTTACTCACATCCCAAAAGTTAGTTGACAAGTGTGTCAGACCACTTTTTACATATAAAAAGACATTTTTATCCTTTGACTTTGGTTTGACCTATTTAATTATTTCTTTAATGATTGAAATGGCATATTTAACCTCATTTA